GCCAGGAGCCCGATGTGGGGCTCGATCCCAGGACCCTGGGATCATGACCTGAGCCAAAGGCAGACGCTTAACCATCTGAGCCACCCAGGCGCCCCTGTGCAGTCACTTTGAAAAGCAGTCCGGTGGTTTCTCAAAGGGCTAGACACAGAGTTACCATATGATCCAGCAAGTCCAGTCTAAGCATGCACCCCCCAAATTAAAAACATGTCTACATGAAAACTTGTATATGAAATGTTCCCAGCAGCATTATTCACAATAGCCAAGAGGTGGAAACAAATCAAATGTCCATCAATGGATGAGTGGATCAACATGATGTGGTCTACCATAAAATGGAATATTATTCAGCTATAAAAAGAAGTGGGGTACTGACACATGCTGAAAAGTGGGTGAACCTTGGGGCGCCTGGGTGGCTCGGTGGTTTAAGCGACTTTTGATTTCGGATCAGGTAGTGATTCCAGGGTCGCACTGGGTATGGAGCCTGCTTAAAAGTCTCTCTCTCCCTCTCCCTCTGCTCCTCCTCCCCACCCCAAACCCCAAAACAAACAAAAAACCCCAAAGTGGATGAACCTCAAAAACATGATGCCAAGTGAAAGAAGCCATTCACAAAAGGCCACATCCTGTATGATTTCATTTACAGGAAATGTCCAGAATGAGCAAATCTACAGACAGAAAGTAGACTGATGGCTACCAGGGGCTGGGGAAAGTCAGGAGAAATGCTAGTGGGTGTGATGTTTCCTTTGGGAGTGACGAAATGTTCTAAAACGGCCTGTGGTGATGGCCACAGAGCTCTGTGTATATACTAGACATCAGCGAACTGCACACTTTAAATGGGTGAATTGTACGATATGTGCTTTATACCTTAAGTTGTTCTATGATTTTAAAAACATACAGGAAAGAAAAAAACAACAGATGGGGGCAAAATAAGACGCTTTACCATTTAAGATTTTTTTTTTTTAAAGATTTTATTTATTTATTTGAGAGAGAATGAGAGAGAGCACATGAGAGGGGGGAGGGTCAGAGGGAGAAGCAGACTCCCCGCTGAGCAGGGAGCCCGATGCGGGACTCGATCCCAGAACTCCAGGATCATGACCCGAGCCGAAGGCAGTCGCTCAACCAACTGAGCCACCCAGGCGCCCTAGACCCTTTACCATTAAAAAAAATAATCTTTGTGTCTCTCTAACCTGTCTGGTAGGATACTCTAGAAACTTGATGACAGTGATGGATGGGGTTGTCAGGACGGAGGTGGGAGGGAGATTTAGTTTTGGTACTATGTGCACGTGCCACTTATTCGAAAAAGTTAATTTTTTTAAAACGTGAAAGGGGCTGTGCGCCCAGGTGCTGCCTCCATCCCGGCCCCCCCACACCCCCCGCCCTGGCCGGGTCAGGGGTCCGAGACGCAGGACCCTCCCTCCAGGCCCCATCCACCCACCCTGGGGACGTCTCCCAGGCTCCGCGGGGCTGCGCTCGCGCTCGCTCACCTGTGGCTCCAAACACCACCACCAGTTTCCTGTCCGCCATGCTAGCCGGCGCGGGAAGTGCGGTCCCGGAGGCCAGGGGGCGGTGGGACGAGCGAGGTCTGTGATGCGTCCACCGGTCCCTCCTGGGACGACCCCGAGCGCGCACCGCGTGGGCCCAACGGGCGCCAGACACCCCGACCCCGTCCCCCACCTCCCGCACGGAACCTCCGGCCGCCGCGATCTCCACGCCCCAGCCCCGGTGGGAAACCTTGGAGCCGGAACGGTGGGCCCCGGGCCTTGCAGCCGAGTTCACCGTCGGGGGGTGTGGGGAAGTGTGGAACCTGCGAGAAGGCTGACCCCGCCCGCAGCTCCAGCCCCGCCCTGGCAAAGCCGCCCCTCCCCGGCCGTCCTGCGAGAAGGGACCCCAGGCCGCGCTGCTTCGGGACTCCTAGCGTCCGGGCCCTGACTCCGCGCGGAGCTGAGCTGCCATCCCCCCCTCGGCGGGCACAGATGGTTCGTCCCGGATCACGCGGGCCTGGGCGTGCGTCCGCGCTAAGCAGCCTCGGCGGCTTGCGGCAACTGGATTTGGCGGGTCTCCTGGGCTCCGCAAAGTGCACGTGCGGAGCAGCTTGGGGGGCGGCTGGCGGTGAGGCCTACGAAAGCAAAAAAACAGAAAAAAACCACATGGTTTTATCTTGCATGAACATCTGGAACTTGCAGATACGGGGTGTCACCTAAAGATAGTTAAACAGCATCTGGGACTCTCAACCCCCAAGGCTCTGAGTTCTTGCAAGCCTGACTCACCTTTGAGGTTGCGACTAGTTGCACGGATTTGAGTTATTTTTAGCAGAAAAAGTGAGATTTCTCTGTATTCACTGCTGAATTTCCAGCACTTAGCACAGCACCTGGCACGTAGGCGCTCAATAAATATTTGCTGAGGGGCGCCTGGGTGGCTCAGTCGTAAAGCGTCTGCCTTGGGCTCAGGTCATGATCCCAGGGTCCTGGGATCGAGCCCCGCATCGGGCTCCCTGCTCAGCGGGAAGCCTGCTTCTCCCTCTCCCACTTCCCCTGCTTGTGTTCCCTCTCTCGCTGTGTCTCTCTCTGTCAGCTAAATAAATAAAATAAATAAATAAAATCTTTTAAAAAAATAAATAAATAAATAAATAAATATTTGCTGATTGACCCGTTGTCTAAACATCTAGACACTGGAGTTCCCCGGAAACCCAACTAAAACTGGTGCTGTTTTCCCAAATCTAGTGGTGGAGATAACTTACAGGGTAATATGTATTTTATTTATGTAAAATATTGGTCTTTATTATAAAATGCATGTATTTAATACATATTATGTTTACTGGTGTTTATAAATGAAGATTTCATCTATGTGTTCATCTTGCATAAATCTTTTGCAGTCTCCACCACATCCTGTTATGTTATGTCTCTATGCTGAGACTGTAATGTTTGCCTGGGTAGGACTCACCACGTTAGATAGATAGGGCTAATCCTTACTCATTCCTTAAGATTCCCATAGCCATCACCTCCTCCAGGAAGCCCTTCCCGGACCCCTAAGCTAGGCTAACTATTCCTATTCTATTCCCATCTCTATTCCACTGATAAAATTGTCTACCATAGTAGGAGGGCTTCCTGAGATCTGGCCTATGTCATGTTTCTCTCGGTATCTCTTCCTTCTGGCACCATATCCAGCACTTACTAGGAACTCAATTAATACCTACTAAATGGAACCCAAGTGCATAGTAGTGTGTTAAAGGATGAGGGTTTTCTTCAATTACATAAGGATAAAGCACAAAACCCAATGTCTCAAGGTCTCCACTTTAAGGAAATAAATCCAAACCACAAGGCATGTAGTAGGACCAGCTGCAGTTTGCAAGGCCTGGTGCAAAATGAAAATGCAGGACTCCTTGTTCAAAAATGATCAAGAATTTCAAGAAAGCAACAGCAGAGCATTAAACCAAGTGTGAAGGCCTTCTCACAGAGGGACCCTGTGCAAATGCTGGGGTTACAAGCCCAGGAAGCCAGCCCTGGTGCCCAGGTTTAATTGAGTAGCATCCCAGGGACACAAGGAACTCAAGGGACACAAGGAACTCCATGCCTTTTGGCCTTCCAACCTACAGCTTGGAAATCAGTGCAGGCAATGAGTGGCAGAATGGCATCTCTGCCCCCGGGCTTCTGGTCATTGGTGCTGGTGCCAGGGGTTCTGTCTGGAAGTGGGTAGGTATTGACAGCCTGGGCAAAAGTCTTGTCTGTTGAAGCCCCACCCAGCCCACGACACCACAGTGGTCCCCTGAGGCCTGAGGAGAAAGATTTGGCTACTGACTGGTGTGCTCAGCTGTGACTCCGCACTTCCTGTTGGTCTTTATATCTGACGGAAGACTTCCTCCAAAGCTCTTGCCAGTTCACCAAGCCCAGTGACTTGTGGTAGTAATGATAACGGGGGGGGGGGGGGGGGGGGGGAGACACCCTTCTCTGAGCTCCTCTGATGTGACAGATAAGCTCCACATTATCTCATTTGAATTTTATTTATGTAATCTCTATGCCCAATGTGGGGCTCAAACTCAGGAAATCAAGCCAGGCGCCCTCCCCCCCACATTATCTCATCTAAACCCTCAAAGCAACCCCTCTTCAATCAGTGTCACTGGATTTAATTCAATTTTATGTGTATGTATTTGGGGCAGGGGCAGTACAGTGTGGTTTCCAATTATTACTTTTTAAAAATTCATTCTTTTTTAAATTTGCTTTTGACAGCCAAGTAACGTATAATGCATTTATGCATCTCGTAAAAACATTTAAATAGTACAGATAAAGCACAAGCAAGTGACCCTCGACCTCCCCCTGACATTCTAGTGTGTAAACTTTCTTGGCCTTTGCATGCATTTAGATATCTAAACGTGAACATGTGGAAAGAACATTTTGTAGTTAAAAAATAAAAGGGATCATACTGAATATATTTTCCCCCAAATTTTATTTGACATATAGAAAATTTGAAATAACTATATAGTGAACACCCATACATATACTTACCACCTGGATTCCACAGTTAACATTTTGCTATATTTATCAGACACCTGTTATCCATCAACTATCTTATTTTTTGATATGTTTCAAGTAAATTGCAGACATCAGTGCCCTTCACTCTTAAACACTTCACATACACAATAGAGTTCAATACTTTTTAGGTTAAACTTACACACTGTCAAATGTATTTTTGTATTTTCCTACATCTTGCTTTTCCCTTCTGCTTAACCATCCTCCCTAAGGTGGCGTCTGCCCTTCTTTATTTTTTAAAGATTTTACGTATTTATTTGACAGAGAGATAGCACAAGTAGGCAGCGCGACAGGCAGAGGGAGAGGGAGAAGCAGGATCCCTGCTGAGCAAGGAGCCCAATGCGGGGGCTCTTTCCCAGGACCCTGGGATCATGACCTGAGCTGAAGGCAGAGGCTTCACCGGCTGAGCCACCCAGGCGCCCCTGCCTTTCCTTTTTTAACGGAAGCACAACTCCGTTGAATAGATGTGCCCCTGTCAACCCCAACCCCATCCTCCTTTAATGGACGTTTAGGTTGTTTCAAGATTTTCACCCAAATGACGTACGCATCCCCTTAGGTGTTGCAATGACCTTCCTTGCTTATGCCTCTTTGGGTTCTCGCACGCGTTGTTCTACGAAAGCTACCGAGAAGTGGAATTGAGCAAAGTGAAGGCCCATTCTTAATTCTAACAGATCTCGCTAAATTGTCCCCGCTTCCCCTGTAACTCCCACGAACACGGCACGTACCGCACACCTTTGTCAACACCGGACAATACGGGTCATTTAATCTGCAGCCAGCTCCAAGGGTAAAGAAATGACGGGAAGCCAGTGCGGCTGGAACAAAAAGGGCAGGTGGAGCCCAGCGCAAGAGGAAACCGGAAAGGCGGTGACACGGGGCACGGAGAGCGCGTAGCCGCGAGGCACCCTCATTAACACCTGCTCTTGTTAACCCGCTCTCTCCGGAGCGCCCAGACTCCCCTACCGCCAGGTGCCCCGCGGGAGGGGCCGCGTGTCCGCCGCAGGGGCGTGTCCGCCGCAGGCTCCGCCCCCGCGGCGTGCGCGCGTCGGGCCGCCCTTGCACCGCCCGCTGGGCTGCGGCGGCCGCGGCACTTCAAGGAGTCGCTGACTGAGGCGCGGACTCGGCGACGGACGGTCGGCCGAGCGGACCAGAGGCCGGTGAGTGGCCCGCGCCCTCCGCGGCCCTTCTCTGGGCTCCTCGGCGAGTCCGGCCGGCTCGGGCCTTCGAGACCTGGGCCGGACAGGCGGCGGCACTCTGCGGCCCCGGCGCCGGCCTGAGGGTGACCCGGCGGGCCGGGGCGGGGGGCGGCCGGAAACGGGGTGAGCGCGGATGGGGCCGAGTTGAGGGTCCCCGCTTCCTACGCGCCGCTTCGGCGGGCCGGCCAGGCCCGAGCGGCCGGTCCGCGTTGGGCCCTATTGGGCCCAGCCCCTCGCCGCGTCACGAGTGTGCAGGGCGAGGTGATCCCGGGGGCGCCGCGTGCCGTCTTGGCGTTCCCGGAGGGGGTTGCAGCCTCCGACGGCCGTGAGCCCACCGGGACTCCCGCCTGTCTCCGGGCGCCCGAGGTCTGTGCCCCGCGTGGCGGCTCCTGCGGGCTCTGCGCTTCCTCCTGACTCACCTCAGTCGGAAGGGCGCTTTGAGTCACTGTCATGACTTCATGAGTGACCCGCGGCCGCCGGGGCGCAGATCGGTCGGGAGGGACCGACGCCCGGGGCGGCCGGTTAGTCCGGGCGGGGAGTTTACCAGTCACCTCGTCGGCGCACTGCTGTAGGTGTATTAATTGCCCGGGGTCGCCAGGAGCGCCTTGCACAGTCTTTCTATGCTCAAGGCCTGCCTGTGTCATGCGATTTATGTGGATTCTTGATGAACCGCTTGTTGTGGCCTGTAGCAGTTCATGTTCATGGCTCTATGAACCAGAGAAGGCGGCCTGTGATTGGGGGTGGGGGGAGGGGACACCGTATAATGCTCTGCAGTTCACTGTCAGCCCCTTCCAAAAGCCTGTGAGTTGATAGGTTTTTCCACTTATAAAATGGAATTAATGATGAGACGCGGGTTCAGTGACTTCACCTGCATCCCACAACGGAGATGTCGCCACAAATGGTTTTGATTCTAGTCGTCTGCCTACAGATCCGATGATCTTTCCTAAACAGTGTCTTAGAGATTGGAAACGGGTTATGTCGTTTAAGTTCTCTTTTCCCTCTCCCGGGAAACGGTCTTCCAAGTAGAAGGAACAGGAGCTTATTGGTTTTGTGTATTTGAATTTCTGGTATGACATTAGCCGGTGTGTTCTGATTAAAATTTTAACTCCCATATTTAAAAATTTTAGTTTTTCTTTTTGCAAGGAGTGGGTTAAGGAATACACTTTAGTAATATGTGCTTTATTTTATAGGTTTTTCTTTTCTTTTTTCAAGAAACATCACAAGCTTACCAGAAGCTCACAGCTCACTTGGGTATTTGCAGATTTACTTGGTGGAATTGGAAACACTTTTAAATACAGCACCTAAGCCAAAACACTTGTGAGAGTGTGGGAATTAAAGGGGCCTTGCAAACGCTCACTGAGTAACCCCATCTACCTGGGGATGCGAGGAGGAAAATCTTCGGGTTCTCTTATTGTCTGGTTTGATTTGCTTTTTTCTTCTGCTTGGGCCAATAAGGTGAGATGCTGTGAGTCACCAGAGTCAGGTGTATGAGCTACTCTAGAAATGACAATGCCAAATGAAAAGATGAGTTACAGAAAGTATTCATTGCCCTTAGCTCACGCCTTACTGAGTTTGTTGAAATGCAAAATTGGACAGCTGGGGCCTTTGAGCTACCTTGATTTTTTCTTTTTTTTTTTGGTTTTCTTTTAATACCTGACTCTCTTCGTAGGACAGCTGAACTGCATCAGTATTATATCAAAAAGTAGAGTATCACTCCTTCAGGAGAAAGATACTTTTGAAAATTGGAATTGTGGGGTCACCTGGGTGGCTCATTCGGTTAAGTGTCTGCCTTCAGTTAAGGTCATGATCCCGGGGTCCTGGGATTGAGCCTCATGTCCTGCTCCCTGCTCAGCAGAGGTCTGCTTCTCCCTCTGCACCCCCCTCTGCTCTCTCAAATAAAAAAACAAAACAAAAAAACAACTGGAAATGTGTATTTATTGTAAAGTTGAGAATTCAATTTGTTAACTCCTTGGTGGAAAAAAAAAAGATGAAAAATTTGAACTGTAAGTTACCTCCTGCTATGTTCTTGGCCACAGTTAACTGAAAAGTTGTAAATAGACATTTAATGCAATCTTTTGTTCTTACAGTAATCAGTGAGGGAAGAGCTCTGGATTACATCTTTTGTGTTAAACGCAATAAGGGTTATGTGCTTTTTAACTAAATTTATTATATCTGTTAAGTTTGCAAAAACATAGATGAAAGCTCTTTTGTTGTAACTTGAATGATTTCTCAGGATATTTTTGCAGTACTGAGAAGCTGTGCCATTTATGATTAATTCTTGGGAGGGAGGGAGGGAGGGAGAGGAAGGGACAGAGAAAAGTAGGAGGGGGAATCTTTAATTGGAACAGTTACTGTAACTGCTTGTAATGAGGTCTTTTTTAAAATTTTTTAATATTTTGGGCGCCTGGGTGGCTCAGTTGGTTAAGCGACTGCCTTTGGCTCAGGTCATGTCCTGGGATCGAGTCCCGCATTGGGCTCCCTGCTCAGCAGGGAGTCTGCTTCTCCCTCTGACCCTCCCCCCTTTCATGCTCTGTCTCTATCTCATTCTCT